GAAATAAAGCAATTCGATGCTTTATTTCAGTATTAGATATACTACTCCATGACAACTGTATACGTGATCTTATGTATCTTGCATGGTATGTGAAATTCTAGATAAGAACTCTTATCTAAAGATTAAATATAAAATTGTAGGCATATGTGAATATTCCCATAGGAATTCAATGACGCATACAAAATCTGCTTCAGACGTTGATGAAATCTTTACGGTGATAGAGCTTTTGAAAACTAGCATTTTCAGACAAAACATTTTCTAAATAACTTTATTTTTCAAAAACAGATATACTCAAAATACTTTCAGTAAAAAACGTCAAAATCCACTTTTCTCTGCCAAAACACTGTGTTGAGGGTGCGGATATAGATTTGAGTGCAATTGGGCGTTAGCATCCACACCCTTTTCTCTTTCTTTCGTCAGTTTTGCTGAGCCACGTAAGTGACACGTTGAATAAACATATATTTATTTTCTTTCCTTCGTGACAAGGCATTTTTCACACGTTTCTTTTCCCTTGTTCTAGTTAACGTATTTTTTCTTTTGTTTCCTTCATGATATGGCACTTTTCACACGTTTCTTTTCGCTTCTTATAGTTTACGTATTTTTTTCTTTTCGTATGTTTTATTTTAAGATATTATTGATTTTTGCTATGTCATTCAGCTATATATAGGTCACATCGAAAATAAAGATCACGAGTCAATATTCATCAGTACACTTGTCTCTGCCTCAAGTATTTGTCACGCGGCATTTTCAGCTTCATTTCCATCTCCCTGTTTACTGACAGATGACGTTACTATGAGTTTTTTTTCGTTGAACATACTGTCACCTCTAATTCACCCTCAGATAGAGAAAAATACAATTGATATCCTTCTTTCAAGTTAGTTATTCCCTAATTAGATTACCAGTGTCAAGTGAAGCTTCATATCCTCTAAGTATTTTTCTTTATTTTTTATCTGAAGTATTATCAACTAAAGTTACTTTACCTCTTTCAAACCTTTCCATTATCTCTGAGGTAACAAAAAACATATTAACTCTACCCCGGATCAAACCCCAGAGAGCTAATAAGCTGAGTTCTACCTAGCACGAAATCCTGATTCCGCCGCTAATAACATTATCAAATTCAAATAAAGGCAGCAACATAGACTAAACGTTTATCTCTGTATTTTATGTATTACTTTGACTTTTGTTTTTAGATTTAGATATGTCATCATCATACAAATTAATATATTCTGTTAACCGTGGTTTTGCTGAAACATCACGTATGTTATTTAAAGTTGCTGGCCAAGAATTCGAAGACTATCGTTATCCAATAACAACGAAAGATGGTAAAATGGGTATAGTTGATTGGGATACACATAAAACTAAATATACATATGAGAAACTTCCTGTACTTGAAATTGATGGTGGAAAACATACAATTTCACAATCAAAAGCAATCGAACGATTTTTAGCCCGTCGTTTTAATATGTTAGGTAGTAATGATATTGAAGCTGCAGTTATAGGTAAGAACATTCTTCTTATTTTATTATTTAAACTAAGTTTATACATTATTTCATTGAAAAGAGGCAGCTGGTGAACAAATTGGTGATGTCAAACAAGCATACAACAAAGCTAGAACAGAAGGTGGGGATGGTGTCAAAAAGTTTTTTGAAGGTGATTTAAAAAAAACATTTACAGCATTTGA